GCCAGCCCCGGAAAACCGGTCCCGTTCCGCGCCGCTCCCAGTCTGGGCCTCACAACTCTGCCACAGTCCAAACAGCTCGCGCCTTCGTCTCGTCAAAAAGACACTTGTGACTTTTCTAGTAGTTGTCTATTTTCTCTTTCTGCTTCTCTGATTTTATTGCTTCCTTTTATTGCAATGACCCACCAAGTTAGAGAAGGAAATGACTTGCCTTCAGATTAGGGATCAGATCTAGACAAGCCCCTTTGCAAGCGGAGGAGGGCACTGAGTGTGCCCCAGAGCTGTCACGATTTGGCCTTCGAAACCATTAGCGGAGAGTGGCACAGAAGAGCCGCTGCGAAATCCCCTCGAAGTGGGCTGCAGCTCCCCTTTCCCCCACACTAGTTAGCGCCAGACCCGGGTCGCTCCCTCGGAACCGCACCTGCTCACAGGTGCTTGGGGCTAAGACAGGATTTCGGTCTCTGAAATCCTGTTTTGAAGTTTGCAAAAGTCGTGTTCGCAAAGAGCAGAGAAAGTTCCTGGGTCTTTCCCAGTCTGCAGCGTTCGGCCGGGTTTTCATTCATTCGCTCATTCATTGCAAAACGTTTCTCTGCGCCCAAGCTGTTGGCCTTCGTTTCTTTCCACCCCACAGCCCGCAACTCGCACCGGGGTTCTAACAGACGGTTTAAAAGACTCTGACAAAAGTGACTTAGCCCTGAGCAGTCAAGTGTCTCTTGAAGCATTAATGGGAAAGGGAGTCATTGCCTAAAACTCGCCACTTTCTAAGCTCATACACTGCAAAGCTCACGTTTAAAAACGTTCCAAAGCAGCTTACTTTCCCTGGAACTCACAGGCTGCTTTCCTTACCCAAACTTCAGAGACGCTTACCCAAACTTCAGAGGCAGAACGCGACGTGAGTTCCCCCCCCCCCGTTTCTTTCTTTCTTTTTAAATTAATTGTCTACCTCACCTAAGAAGAATTACATGAAAATTCTTCCCGCTGACCTCGAGCTCACCATTTCTGATCCACCCTTCTTACTTTTACAATGATTCTCTTTATATATTGGTGAATTTTATTTTGTGTCTGTTTCAAGGCTCCAGTTTACATCCTTAAATTCCTTAACTTCTGGGAGCTTTGGTGAGCACTGTAATAGCCATAACCTGTCCAAGGAATCCAGACTCCCTAAATAAAGAAAATTCTCTATTCACGCGTGCTGAGAAAACCAGCCACCACCTCCCCCCAGAAAAACAAACTCTTGTGTTCTGGATCAAATTTTCTCGTTAATTCAGATGTGATATATACCATTACAGAAATTAAATTTCCCAAGAATTCAACTATTAACAAGCAATTCCTCCATACAAAATCGTGCCCCTTTAAAACACAGTTTAAGAACTCTTGGATGGTAAAAGTCTTCTAGATCTTCCTAAGTGTGAGTCCAAAATTAACATTTCATAACTAGAGGACAGGTAAACTAGTTAATAGACAGTTGTACTTTTATATACACATCTAGCTTTTAGAAATCAAGTCAGGGAGTCAAGAAATACAACCTTTAAAGCAACATTGAAGAGAATCTTTGCTAAAAGGTAGAAGTGTTCCTAATTTAAGATTTTTTTTTTTTAATTTGGTTTGCTGAATGTAGGGTGTGGAGTAATGTCTCAGTGGCCCCTGATGGCAAAGGCTGTTTTAGCCTGTCTAAAGGGGACATGTCCAGACCAGGCAAAAGATTCCAGGTTAAATCATTGGGCTCTTTTCTTGCAAGACTCAGTGAGAGGCTAGCGGCTTGGTGACTCCATAGGGATTAGTCACATAGTCTGATGGGACCCCTCCTGGAATGGGGGGAGGGGAAGCTAGATGTTTGACCAGAACTTGCCAGAGAAACTATTCATTTTTAGTTATTATTATCTTCAAGGAAAAAGGAGGCATGGAAGAGCATGGAAACTGCCTTGTACACTGGTGTTACTGGGAATTTTTGTGGCTGCCTTGAGGAAGGTCAGCTGGGCTAGCAGACCAGAAGGCAAATAGATGGCCCCCAAACAAGGGGCTCAGCCCAAAGCATAACTTTGGAATAGGGCACTTCTTTTCCAGCTTCAGGACTTCTCTTCCCCTTACTCCACAATCACTACCTCCACTTCCCTCGTCCATCCCCCCTTTTTTTCCCTCTCTCTCTTTCCTGACCTCAAATCCATAAAAGTAACTGTTGTCTAACCGGGTTCCAGGAACTGGTCAGGTTGGGTTATTTTTTTCATTAATTTATTTATTTTTCATTTCATTTTCTTTTATACATTCGATCACATTTTAATTTGTCTTACAAAATGGGTATTTCAACAGGTGAACATCTCTCCTCAACACAGTTGACATAACCACAAAATATCCTCAACAGACAATATCACACCTCCCTGTAACATCAATATTTTGCCTCCCTATTTTTCTTCTAAATGTCCTTCCTCAGACCCTCCTCTTGCACACACACTATATCTGGTATTTACATCTATATACTGTGTTTCTATATCCTTTAGTGAATTAGTTTCAGTCATAGAGTGAGGACAGTCAGTTTATATTAAGTGGGGACATGCAGTGCCTCTCCTTCATAGCCTGGCTTGCTTCACTCAGCAGTAAGTCTTCCATAGGTTTTACCCAAAAAATGGTCTCTTTGTCAACATTATATGTCTAGTATTTATGGCATCATTTTCTCCTCCAACCCATCCTGTTATTGTTACAATATTTTTTTTTAATTTGCCAGATGGCATATTCACTCCCCATAGAAAGATAGAGAGGGAGAGGAAGAAAGCACCCCTTGTGGTCATTCCACAATCCTTTCTCTCCATTTCTCCATTCTGTTGAATTCTGGGCACCCATGCCCAGTGTGTTTTCTCAAGCCTCTCAGTGAAGATTCAAACTGGGTGTTCACCGTATGGTATCTTATTCCCTTAGCCACTCGGCCACAGGTCTAGGCCCATTTTGTTATCTTAAGGTCCTGACTCCTTTATAATTTCTGATTGTTGGTATTAGTTAAAAGATAACATTTATCATGTGCTGACTGTGAGCTCCAGACTAAGTGCTTTGCATATAGTATCTCATTTAATTTTGTCAATAATTCTTCCAGGTTTTTAATTATTATTCCCATTGAAAAGGAAAGTAAATTGAGGCACAGAGAGATGAAGTAACTTCCCTAAAGCTTCACAGCTAGTAATTAGAGGAGCCTGGCTTCTAACTCAGGCAGTCTGACTCCAGAGCCCACTTGTCAATGACCGTTGAAGAGTCGGTGCATATTTTGAGACTGTGTGAAGAGGAGCCAAATTCAAAAAAGTCTCAGAGTAAGAGAGATCAGATGACATTAGTTAGGCCCCTGAGCTATCCAGTTCCCCCTTACCCCTTTCAGTTCTCAAGCCCTCTTAATAGAAACAACATGGGCTTTATAAAAAGAAATGGAAGCCAGTCATAGCCTAAGAGTAGCCAGAGACTGCCAGAGCAGAGATCATGAAGTGAATCACCTCACCCGGACAAAACATGAATTTTAAGGGTTTTTTTGTTTGTTTGTTTGTTTTGGGAGAGGTTTTTGCTTTAGGGTGCGTGTGCTCGCCATACAGACAGAGAGAGAGAGACAGAAAGCGAGAAGTCACCCCCCAGGGGGGATGGCCATGCTGCAATCCCTTCTCCTCCATTCTCCTCTAGGGATCTTGGTCACGCACGCACATGTGCCCGGCGTGAGTTTTAAGCCACCGGGTCTGGGACACAAACTGCGGTTGACTACGTGGGAGTCCAGCAACATAGCCATTACGCCAACTGCTGGTCCCATAACATGAATTTTAAGTTTAAGAAACCTCCAGAAAACAGCAACAAAAGCAACATCAAACTAGTTATTTTTTTAAAAAGAATTATTTTTATTTAACTTTATTTATTATTATTATTTCCCAGAGAGAGACAGAGAGAGACGAAGTGAGAAAGCAAGTCACCATGTCCAGGACTAGAACCGTGGTCGACCATGTGGGAGTCCAGTGACTCTAACCACAACGCCACCTGCAGGCCCCCAAACCAGCCATTTTTAATGCTTAAAAAAATTACTTACAGCACACGCCCGGCGTGAGTTTAAGCCACCGGGTCCGGGACTCGAACCATGGTTGTCTATGTGGGAGTTCAGTGACATAGCCATTACGCTACATGCTGATCCCAAGGAGTCTATGTTTGTGAGCAATTATGCTTGATAGGTCTGAGATGATAAACAGCAAGTTTTCAAAGAGCTAGATGGTAGGAGTACTATAGATCTGATGCCAAGGACACAGGTTTGAGGGCCAGCATGCATTTCTCTGCTTTTTAGGCCTTCATTGCACCTCCCCTCTTGCCAGCTTTTACTGGGAACAAAGTCAGTACTTCAATATTTTAATACAAAGAACCATATATATATATATTTTTTTCACATAAGTCACCAGTCACCCTAGTCTTCAAGGGCATGTGTGTGTTATACAAAATACAAGTTCAAAAGGTTCTTGACCACTTTTTTTCATTTATACATTTAAGATCTGCATTTTATATATTTTAATAAACA